GCTCTGCCACAGGACTACCCAGAGAGCTTTGGCGAAGCTGCTCGACCTCTCTCCAGCCTGTTTCCCCAGTTCAGAAATGCGAATCCTCCTCCATCTCCTCCTCCTCCTCCTCCTCCTCCAGTTGTCCATTCTTCTTGTTTGAGTGAAAGCTCCTGGGGATGCTCTCAGCCCAGCAGAGCCCCTTGACCTTACAAAGAGCTCCTTCCAGGGATCCTAAAGGAAGAAACTGGAAATAAAGCTGGCGAGAGGGAGTGCTGCCGGCAGCACGTGGCACAGGGGCGATGGCAGGTCCCCTGCCCCAGCTTCACCTTCGCCTTTCCCTCTCCCCGGCTCAGACCCAACCGCTCCCACCTCTTCCTCAAGTACCTCTGTGCATCGATTCATCCACAATTTTCATGCCTTATCAGGGGAAGGCCTCAATACATGCTGAGGGTAATTGCGGTGGCACTGTACTAGCACACCGGGCCGTCTCCCCTCCTGGCAGGCCAGCTGCCTTTTGTCTCTAAGAAGATCTGCAGCTGCGCGGACTCCTTCTGCTTCTTGTTATTGGAATGCCTCTCTTCTTGAGGGCAACGACTGCTTCTATCTCACAGGAGAGCCCCTTCCTCAATTAAAGAAAAAAAAAAGCCAACGCATTTATTTTGAAACAGCAGTGCAATTGGGAGAGTTCATTATATTGGATTAATTATGATAATTATCAGTAGAAGGGAGATAATTACCCTGTTTGTTGTCAAGAACAAGGTAAAGGGTTCTTTTTTTTTTTTTTTAATTATTATTTTCTTTTCCACAAACCAGCTTGGCTATGCAGTGCGGGGGGCACAGGGGAGGTGAATGCCAGCACCAGGGCTTCACCCGCTCCCACCTTAGGGCATGTGGTTCATCGCCGCTCGGCCTCCAGCTGCGGTTACGCGCTCACCTGCTCGCTTGCCACCGAAGCCTGGCTGTGGGTCTTGGCTCAGAGCGTCCTTCCCCTCCCAGCAATGCCCTGCATTGCCCTGGTCCTTACACGAAATTGCCACTGCAACCCAGGCAGCTGCACCGGGCAAGTGCCCGTCCCTGGGAGCGCCGGGAAAGAGGGAGCGGGATGCGCTTGCTGCCGTCATCGTTGCTGCAAGTGATGGAGACGGCCGAAAAGCGCCCCAACTCCTGGCAAAGCTTTGCACCAGTCGCTGGGAAGGGAGAGACTGCCTCTCCAGTCATGGCTTCTAATGCAAATAAGAACGTAATTTAAAAATTAAATTTAAAATAAATATTAGTTAAATATTAAAGAGAAGAAATCATTTTTAAATGGCCGGTGTGTTTCTCAGTAACCCAACCAGGTGTATTTAAATAAGACACCACTGAAAATGTTCAATTTTTATCATTCTAGGTATTTTAAAAAATGTTTCTTACAAGGCAAGCATATATATTTTACTGCTGCTTTTTCTATTCTCTTAAGAGATCCTAATTTTAGCAGGTTTCCTCAGGCCAGTGGTGTGGAAGGCTGCCCTTGTGAGAGAAGGGAGAAGGAGGTGGATGCTGCAGGACCCAGGTTATTCACAGGAGCAGAGATTTCCGTTGCTGCCCGCTGGGTTGATCCCACATCCAGCCACCTTCAGATGAGCCGCTGTCTTTGTAGGCCCACGTTTATGAATGCAAATGCTTGCGTAGCTCAGAAAGTGCGCGTCCTTGTGTTACAGAGACAAAGCCTTTGTCTGAGCGGGAGGACGTGGTCACTGTAGTTCACCCTCAGTACCGCATCCCCAAGATCTGCACGCCAATGACGCTCTGGGGGCGCATGCTGGGAGGGATGCCCCGTTCCTTGTGACACGGGGGATGTGTTGGAGGAGAAGAGCTTCTCCTCCTCCAACACATGCTGCATGGAAGGTCCTTCATGTCCCGGGCAGGGCGAGAGACTTCAACTGTGGGACAGACAGTGAAGGATGCAATAACGGACCAAGGCGGCAAAACTGGATTTAAGTGTCGGGGCTGGAGCAACAACAGTAGGAACAACCTCTGTAGCTGAGGAGTGGCCTCAAGTGAACATTTTGGGTCAAAACCCAAGTGAACAGGACTCTCGTGAAAGCAACTCTCCTTTGCCGCTCCACGGCTTCCAGTCCACACGTGGCAGGGGGTGACAGGAGGTAGAAAAACCTCACCTTTGGCGGCAACAAAATCCCAAGTCCTGCTGACCCGAGGGGGAAATGGCACTTCATAAAAGGCGGCGTGAGACTGGGACCCGCAGAGCCCTGGGCGTGTTGGAGCCTCCAGCCACTCCTCGTGCTGAGGTGCCAGCTGTGCTCAGAGCACGCGAACGCCTGTGCCGCTGCAGGATGAAGGCCTGAAGGTGGGTGAAGTTTACTGCACGGGCGAAATTCTCATTATGGCCTCTCTCCTCCTCCCGCGGAACTCGCTGGGAACTTCAGTACCAAAGCCAACCACGCTGAAACCACACACTCACCTCCCGCACCTCGTGTGCAGAGGGGAAAAAATGATGGTAAAGCTAACCACACCTTACCCTAAATGGCTGAAGCCAGCTGTGAGCGGGAAGCTGAACGGATGGGACCTTCGAACTGATGATCTTTGCCATGTCCAGTAGCCACGTCGCTAATTTTACTGCATTGTCCCCAAACCCTCTCTTCCCGAGCCTTCTGACTGTGCTCCGAAGGAGCACAAACCTCTGCGGAGACGTCTTAGGTCGGAGAGTCCGGTCTTAAGTCAGCTCTGGGGTGCAGCTCACCCAGGAGCCCCCCCCCTTCAGCCGTTACCCAGGGCGGCTGATTTGGGGGTGAATCTAAAGCAGCCGGCGCAGGCGGGGTGTCCCCCCCACGCCCCCCGGGGCAGAAGTCTCTTTCGCCTCTTGCAGAGAGGAGCGCACCCGAGCCATTCGGAGTGAGACCCCCGCCGCGAGGGGGATGCAGCACCCACACGGCGGCCCCTGGGGGTCCCCCGGGGTGTCGTGTCCCCCCCCCGGCCCTGCGGACCCTCGGCAGGCGACAGGGGGCGCCCCGCCACCGCTTTTAGCCGCCGGGACGGCGGGAGGGGCCCCTCCCGGCGGGGGGGGCAGGGCCGCTCCCCGCGCTTTTGGGGGTACCCCCTCCCCAAGGCGCCGACAGCCCCCCTCGGGTCATACCCCAACCGACCAACCTCCCCAATTCCCTAAGCAGGGGTAGGAAAGGGCTGGGGTGGGAGGGAGGCGGGCTGCCGCTGTCGGCGCGGCTATCGCGATAGGAGCGTGCCCTCCTGGAGGCGGTGGGGTTGTTTCCGTCTGGCGATGAGACCTGAGGGTGCTGGAGTCCTGCGGGAGGGGAGGGGGGGTCCTCCCAGTGCGGGAGACCCGCGGCGAGGTGAAATCCTGCTCGCCGGTGGGTTTATGTTGGATGTCTCAAAACTATCGCCAGCCTTCGCCCATCGATGGCTCGGTTCCCCCCACCCCCACCCCCGGGAGCGATAAATAAATAAATAGATAGATAGATAAAGAAATAGATAGATACAGAAATAGATAAATAAATAAACAAACCCGGCGGTTTCTGGTTGGTTTTGGTTTTGGTTACCTTTTTTTTTTTTTTTTGAAGGTGGGGAGATATAGGTGGGGATCTATGAAACAGGCAAAACCAAACCCCCGGGAACGGGGGAGGCGGCCGGGGCCGTACGCCGTACCTCGGCGCCGGGGGCGGGGG